GGCGGGACCCCCGGCCAGGATGAAGGAGATGAAGACCCCAAAAAAACTCCCCAAAAATTCCCCAAAAATTCCCTAAAAATACCCAAAAAATTTCCTATAAATCCCCCCAAAATCTCCAAAAAATGCCCCAAAAATTCCCTAAAAAAAAACCAAAAAATTCCCTAAAAAATCCCTAAAAAAAACCAAAAAAACCCTAAAAATTCCCAAAAAACCCCGAAAAAAATCCCAAAAAAATCCTTATAAACCTTCTAAAAATCCCAAAAAAATCCCTATACATCCCCTAAATAAAATCCAAAAAGTTCCTAAAAAACCAAAAAAAAATCCCAAAAAAATCCCAAAAAAATTCCAAAAAAAAATCAAAAAAAAATCAAAAAAAATATTGAAAAAAATTCAAAAAAAATCCAAAAAAATCCAAAAAAAATCCAAAAAAATCCCAAAAAATTCCCAAAAAAATCCCAAAAAATTCCCAAAAATTCCCAAACTTCCCAAAATTTGTCACCCACCGATAGGATTTGGTCTCCCTTGCGCAGCTCCCCGCTGAGGTCGGCGGGACCCCCGGCCAGGATGAAGGAGATGAAGACCCCAAAAAAACTCCCCAAAAATTCCCCAAAAATTCCCTAAAAATACCCAAAAAATTTCCTATAAATCCCCCCAAAATCTCCAAAAAATGCCCCAAAAATTCCCTAAAAAAAAACCAAAAAATTCCCTAAAAAATCCCTAAAAAAAACCAAAAAAACCCTAAAAATTCCCAAAAAACCCCGAAAAAAATCCCAAAAAAATCCTTATAAACCTTCTAAAAATCCCAAAAAAATCCCTATACATCCCCTAAATAAAATCCAAAAAGTTCCCAAAAAACCCCAAAAAAATCCCAAAAAAATCCCCAAAAAATCCCAAAAAAAATCCAAAAAAAATCCAAAAAAAATCCAAAAAAAATCCAAAAAAAATAAAAAAAAATCCAAAAAAAAATCCAAAAAAATCCCAAAAAATTCCCAAAAAAATCCCAAATATTCCCAAAAAATTCCCAAAAATTCCCAGATTTGTCACCCACCGATAGGATTTGGTCTCCCTTGCGCAGCTCCCCGCTGAGGTCGGCGGGACCCCCGGCCAGGATGAAGGAGATGAAGACCCCAAAAAAACTCCCCAAAAATACCCCAAAAATTCCCTAAAAATACCCAAAAAATTTCCTATAAATCCCCCCAAAAAATTCCTATAAATCCCAAAAAAATCCCTAAAAAATCCCAAAAAATCCCCTAAAAAATCTCTAAAAATTCCCTAAAAATACCCAAAAAATTTCCTATAAATCCCCCCAAAAATTCCTATAAATCCCCAAAAAATCCCTAAAAATCCCAAAAAATTCCCTAAAAAATCCCTAAAAAACCCCCAAAAAATCCAAAAAATCCCCTAAAAAATCCCTAAAAAATCCCAAAAAATACCCGAAAAAAATCCCAAAAAAATCCCTATAAACCTTCTAAAAATCCCAAAAAAATCCCTATACATCCCCCAAATAAAATCCAAAAAGTTCCCAAAAAAAACCCCAAAAAATCCAAAAAAAATCCCAAAAAATCCCAAAAAAATTCCAAAAAAAATCCAAAAAAAAATCCAAAAAAAATCCAAAAAAAATCCAAAAAAATCCAAAAAAAATCCAAAAAAAATCCCAAAAAAATCCCAAAAAAATCCCAAAAAAATCCCAAA